AACTCTCTCTCTCTCTCTCTCTCTCTCTCTCTCTCTCTCTCTCTTTCTCTCTCTCGGCTAGGTGATATATACGCATGCCCTCGCAGGCGCAGTATTCGAGATAATTTGAATTTGCCGAGTGGAATATAATTTAATAAAACTTTACCGCCGCGGAATTCGCATTAACTACGCATTACCTTAGCTCTCCTTTATCTCGGCGCTGCTTACTTTACCATAGGATTGTTTTAGTAAACAAGAGAGCAAATTTCTTTATTAAGATTCACGACCGTCACGATACTACCGTCTGACAGCATTTTCGGAACATGGAAATAATTTCTTCTTAGCATTATCGACTATGCTTGCATGTACGTGGTAGTCTCTATAAATAACTTCTGATTCACGAGATTAGCATAGAATGTTTCGAAATCGTGGGATAAATTCGTGCAAATTCAAAACGCCATTGATACGTGCTGTCCGCATTTAAAGTCATCGAAATTGTTTCATTTTACGTTTCTTTGTTAAAAATCAAGTAATGATTTTCCATTAACCAGAAAATATGTAAGATAATTGCGAAAACTATATTGAGAAAATTTATAATGCTGTTCAATCGCATGAAGTATTCAATTTTCCATATGAAATCCAACATGAAATTCGGTTCTCTATTAATTCCAATGCAATGGAATTGGATATACGTCGATAACACATTACAAAGGCGTGATTCAATATAATATCCATACAAAATCGCTCAAAATCGTTCTAACAATTTATATTGATTACGTCATATCTCAAGCATTTCAATAATAACTTTGTAAATCGTATAGAAATTGCCATATCAAATAAATATATTATATACCCTCTCTATATATTAAGTGTGTACCAAAACGACAATATCAAACTACACTATTAAATTCGTAATGGCAAATTATGGCCAATTTAAATTATTTTTAATTATTTCATAAGTCACTGCTCCTATTCAATATGTCGCTAATTTAATTAAACAATGGAGTTAAACAATTTATTCGAGAAAATTTATTAAATTTAATTCAAATTTAGCTTATTATTTACTAAGTACACACATTAATATGGACGATATTTATTTGGAAACTAACCATAGAAATAGATTGATTTTGTTATACACAACATAAATACATTTTGTTATATGAAAGTTAAAAATAACACAAAATGTTATTTTTAAGGGAACGGAGTTCTGAATGTATACTTCATTGGTATAATAATATAGGTACCGTTGCTCCTTTGTTATCTAATACACTATAATATTATTATAGTATATTAGTCAAGGCATATCTCTTCTACACGTAATTATATACATATTTATATGTACAAATATGTACTAAAAATGTGTCACAGTTATAGAGTTAACATAACTGTTACTATTTCTTTCCTATTCCTATTGTGAAAATTATTTTCACATACGAAGTTTATGAGTGTTATCGCTATTACGCGATCTCAATTGTCAAGAAATCAATACTCCGAAATAAACGCAATATTTTTCGACGATTTTGAGATACGATCCGTTGCTTGCTGTTATTACTAGATGTCATCAGTTTTGTTGGCGATTTTGCTAAAAGCCTTTTATGACGCATATGGAGATTGCAAGGAGATCAGATCCCGGAAAGCGTGATCATCCAGCGACTACAGCCTCATGCATATTCCAAACTGCACTCGTCCGTCAGCTTGGAGAGCCCACTTTTAGCACTGTTGTATTCCGACTGCCACATAACTTGCATCACGTGATTGCCTCTGTGTATATACGGTGATGGTTGCTATGGGATAGTTACTTTAGAGAATAGAATGTTTCCCGGAAAACTAAAATTACGTTCATTAAACTTTAATAATGTAACATTGCTACTCTGTGAATATAGCTTGGTAATGTAACTGCCATAATTGTTGCCACATTCAAAATGCTTATTGTTAAAATTATGTCGTGTAGAAACTGTTTCTCTCTTTTGTTGCAACTCTTGAAGAAACAAATTGCATTATTTATTCGACGTATCGCATCGATAGGTGAACAAGTGTTCAACCAATTCTAATTTAATCAAGTACACTAATCATGAAAATCATTAAAATTTCTAAACATACAGCTTTTCTAATATTTCATTAATTTGTTTAATTTAATGTACATACATTGTACTAATCCTCTGAGATATAATATATATCATTCATTTTAGAGCATCATAAATATCTGTTTAAGAAAACGATATCGTAGAATAATGTTTGAACAACAAGAACATAAATCTGCTGACGATAAAAATCTTTTTCTGCTTCTCTCGGAACCATTTTCGTGGCCCTTCTACAGTTTCGGCGTCGATCGTAAATTTTTGACCGGATGGCATTCTTTAAGGCTACGTCGGCCCTTTTTTTCGATGCCCTGAAAAATGTCGTTCGCGAGCAGCGAATTTGCGGAAAACGCCGACGTCGTTGAGGAGATCAAAAAATGGCTCTCTCCCTTTATGGGTGAGATGGGAATTTCACCGCGGAATGCGCACCATTCTCCTGTGAGAGACATTTTGAATTAAGAGAGATCACACGAAAATGCATACTCGCGCAGTTATTCCGCAGATAAAATATCAATTTTGATAGTGACTATAAATCGGCACTTTTTACGCGAAATAATTGAGACGGTATTGCTTTCAGTGCAATAATACGACTTACAGCTAAATCATTCTTCTTTGTTACTCTGTTTGCAATATTATAACGCGTAAAGTTACGTAAACGTAAAATGGCGAAAATAAAAAATGCATCCCCTTAAATACGGTGTACGGTGTAATAAATCCCCCTCTTTATATTGTGCCGTATTGATCGTCATTACAGTCGTTTAAAATTCAAGCTATGCAGCGAAAACGTATAATAGAGTAATATATCATAAGCGGTGCAACATTTTCACAAAAATATGAGAAACGCATGCTACGTTATATCCTTCTGCATAATGTAACATAATGCTATTACCGTATTTTGTCACACGAGTCGAAGTGTGTAATATCAAATTTGTAATGCAATAGAGAGCAGTTATATGCAATTGTTTTATTGTGATCGTTTTTTAACAAGATATATGTTAAGAGTCATTGATGCAAATCACTCCTACGAACAAGAAGCTGTTGTTGTTACATCAACAATATAAAATGGTGATTCTGAATAACTAAATGCGGGCGCGATTATATGTCGTAGAGAATAATAATACTCGGTTGAAATGTACTCGACGATTCTCTTTAAATTAACGATGTGATGCTTGCCGTTTACACGTATACGTAATACATATACGAAAGCACGAAAGTCGGAACTTTTATGAAGCTAATACGCAGTTGCTTCGAGTTTCTAAAGTCGTGCACCGGTTTATCCCTCACGTCCCGAGCATATATTTAACGCTGCAGCGCTTATTTGCACTGAAAAATCGCGTAAGCTAGTAAAAGCGTAGGAATGTCACAAAGCTGCACTTCCTTCGCCATTCGACGACGCCCGAAACATTTTCACATTTTTGAAAACGTTTCCCTTTGTGACATAAGCAATTCATTTATTGTAATATAGGTACATATTTCCAATACATCAGTTAATTCTATTAATTCCTTCTGGAGATCCGTGTATGTTTTTAATTCATAAAAGGGATTTCAAAATTCTCGAAAATAATTTGAAATATCAATACAATAAATAAAGAAATAATGGGCTTCTTATAATTCAATAAAAAAGAAAAATTTTTAATTTGAAATATATTTTATTGTTTATATATATTTAAGGAAATTTCTCAATAGCAATAAATATGATTTTAAACGAGAATATTTTAGAAAATCTTTATACATATATATACTATCACTACTTAAAAAGTTATATACGCAACGAATTATCAGAGTGAATTGTCGCCGCGAGTTGCAGTTGTGACAAATCTTGTGTGTGGCCAGAAGGACTTTACGCTATTCACGTCCCCGGCTTTCACTCCGGCATAATCACGCGAGATGTCAGAACCACGCCGTGATGTACGGGCGCTCGAAATCGCCCAAACTTTTGCATAGTTACCGTAAATACGTGCAACTTGGCCAGGGAGCCTATCAAAGATCGCCGGTCGCCTTATCCCCGTCACGTTCCGCGCGTAGATTTCATGCTCTCGCAACACTGCGTCTCACGCGGGCCGAAAAATCGCCAGGAACGTTAACCGCATTTCCTCGACCGAAACTCACGAAATCCGTTCGACCTGGATCCCGCCCATAAAGCAAACTGTGTCCCGTTCGTCGCGGAATAAATGACGGCTGAAAGAGCACGCAGAAAATTCGCCGCGTAAAATCGCATGCGGAAAAGCGCAATGCGTGTATCGCTGTCACGTCCGAGAAATAGATTGCATATATCAATGCATGCAAATTTCAAAACTTGTGCTTGAGAATTTTTAATCTCGTTCTCTAACTGTTACATGTTGCCTTCGTAGAAACGAATTAAAAATTCCTTTCTATGATATAAGAGGCAACAATATATTTGCGTGCTTGTTATTGCATTCAGAATAGCTCCTGTGTTGTAATATTATTTTCAATAAAGGTAATATTTCCTGATATTTAAGTATTTTCTGTGCATTTAAATGGAATTGAACAAAGACAATTTCAAATATGATGCAATTCTGAAGAAAATAAGATTTCAGTTCAATTTCGATGTTTGATAATCCACATCTCATTATGTAGGGTACTAAAGGTTGTCACCAAATACGAAAATCAAAGTTAAATCTCAAAAATTAGATTCAAATCTTACTTTGTTCAGAATTGTACTATGTTATACGAAATTTTGTATCATCTTGTCCTATCATATTCTTTACAAAAATGCTATTTATTATAAAAAAAAAAAAATCTACAGAAACAGAAAATAGATATAGTTAGGTACATTATTTTGCATTACAAAATATATATTTCTCCTTTAATTAATTCTACGAAAGATACTTAAAAAGTTAGCAAAATCGACGACTTTATCGTCAAGAGGGATGCCGGTGGTGTGGCGGGACTGATGTGTCTTACGGCATTTTAGTGCAACAGATGTACGGATCGAACGGAGCAAGCGTCGGTCTACCAATGGGCATGACCACGCTGAAGGGCACAACCGGTACTCTGGGGACCCTGGGGAATTACGGCTCGGGGATGGGAGTAACGGGGGCCACGACCCTGCCACGGCCGGGAAACTGGCTGCGCCCTGCGGGCCTCAGGCTCGGGCACAGCGCGGCCCGGGTCCGCCTCTACTGCCAGGCAAAGTGAGGAGCCATGGTTCCGACAGGTGAGGCATTTTGCACTTTTCCAGATATTCTGTATTGTGTTTTCAAACAGAAAATGCGTTGTTACATTTCCTCTTATCATTTTTTTTAACTGTAGTACTACTCGGACATTTGTGCGAAATAACTGCAGTATTCTCTTTCACAGTTCTCTCTCTCCATTGTAAAGAAAAGTATCACAAGTATCACGTTATCAAAAGGAAGGAAAAATGATAAATTATTAAAAATTTTTTAATCTTAAAAAAAATACAGTGTATCCTTGAAAAGACATTACAGTTGAATTTTTGTTAATGTTTAAAATACTTTCACTGAATAAAATGAAAATTCTTATGCGTTATATGTTAAAACAAACTTTTCCAAAAATATATATTGTTAAACATTTTTTTTTATTTGACTCTTACAATGTCCCTTTTACCTTTCGCTTATGTTTATATCAAGAGTGTCCTTTACCAACTTTTATATTATTATTTCTTTTTATTTTAGCAAAATATCCAACGAGGACTTGCAATCAAATTGCAACAAAATCATTATAATCGTATATGAACAGATTATTATAACATTTTTTTTATACAGTAGTGAAAAAGATCATTGTCAGAGTTTTATGTTAGATGCCAGTCAAAATGGCAAACGCTTTAAGAAACTCGATCAGGATCATAGACTGTTTTTATAACATTTAGATTAGAATCGAGAGAGATTGGAGGAGGTGCGTACTTTTTGTTGCAAGAACAATACATCAGCCAATCTAAAATGGGCCGATTCTCTTTCCATCGCATTATATACATCACCGTTATTGATCAGACCTTTGAAAGTCTGTTACTCTTTCGTCATAAATTCAAATTCGCGAAGAGAATGTGTGAGAGACGAAAAATCAATGTAAGATTTAAATCAATATAAGACTTATTTTTGAGGTTTTCGAATTATACGCTATTAATGAATTAATAAATAAATAATAACAAATTTAATATAATGTTTCGTATCATAAAAATATTTTTACAAATTTATACGTCGTAATAAAAAAATGTATTGTGTGTTAAAATAGATGTTTACAGATAATATTCTTCCATTTTACAATTATCGAGGAAAACATTTAAAGAAAATTATATTCAATTACTTTGAAGAATGTAACAAATTTTAAAAAAAAAAAAGTGCTGGAAGTTTTGAGATATATACTTTCCGTATAAAAATAAATATTATATAGATAGAAGCAATTCAATAAAATCAAAATTTAATAATACAATTTTATAATTTAAATGAAAAATTTCTTATTTTATCTTAAATACTTTTTAAGGACATATCTATTTCTTATTGAAATAATTGTTTATTCATATTTAGCCAGATATTTTAAATCGCTGAGTTACTTTTCAATACAATATAGAATTATAGAAGAATCTATAGTTTCATTTTTTGTTTTGTTAAAAATACGTGTAATACATATTTACGACTAAAGCTAAGAATTCTCCTACCAAATATAAAACTAGTTAATAATTATTATGCGCTCATTTTTTGATAAAATGTATTAACACATCTAGAACCACTATCATTATAACTTTGTATTGCAATATGTTTTATTTAAATTGCAAAATCAATACTTCTCGATAAGAGCTAGTTTATATAAATAACTCGAGAAGATATATACGCATAAGACAAAGATATATATAAATATCACAGATAAAGATTAAATATAACAAAAAAGAGTTATTTAATCTCTTTATTCGTAATGCATATAATTTTTTACGTGCAATTTAATTGATACATATCTTCCATTTGTCTTTCAGTGACATCTCCTCCAGCCAGAAAGACGAGTGGTTTGTGTAGGTGAGTTAAAAATTGTAGTGCATCCGACAATCACGCCACTGTCATTCGTTCCGTTCTCTTTGAAATATAAGCGTAACTTGTGGAACTATGAAATTTTCAATTACAAAGAGTATGACCATTACCATTGTCACAATTACATGGTTTGCCTCGGGCTGGACGTTCTGTTATACTCATATACCAAAGACTCGTCGCTTTTCAAAGCGCAATTACGAGGCAATCAGGCCGCTGAATGTCAATGTTAAAAAAATGATATTCACAGACGCCTCGCCGTAACTTCGATATATCGACTGCTAATTATTCAACGTGATTACGTGATTACGCTTTTCACGGCTATTCCGAATAATTACGTATTATTATTATGGCACAATGATGGCTTTTGTGTATTATGAAAAGCTGAGCGTGGTACTTAATAGAGAAATATTATTGTATATAGATACGCGATACTTTGCAACAACTAAATTTTATTAAAACTTAAATGAAGCAAGTTTCATCATCGCGTAAATTATGATATAAAGGTTATAGAATTTCAGAGATTATTTAGAAAGTATGTGTCAGTGCATAAAATATTGTGTATATTATAATTACCTTTGGAAGCATAAAGTTACCGCGACTTGCTTCTGTATATTAATTAAATATATAAGTTTTAATGTACACGCACAAAATTATAAGTAACTTTTATAGAAGTTAAAATATTGAAAAGATAAAATAAGTCATATTTACAAAAGAAAATAATTATCTTTTATCCGCGTTTAATTTTTATCAATTTTTATATGAAAATCCAAAGTGCGAAATATATTCAAATATTACACGTTTGAACATTATTAGTTGCAATATTTTCTTTAAAAAGTGGACAATGTTACGAAATATACATTGTAGTCTGATATCACATGTGTATCTCTAAATTGGATTTTAAGTTTCTACGCGCGCTCACAGTATAAATATAATACAGTCCTGCTATAATACAATTTCAAGAGAACTAAATATGAGAAAAAAGCTTCATGCATCGCGATACAATACATTAAATTTTCATTTCACTGTTAATTACATTTAACCGTTTAATTCTCTGTCCCTTTGTAGTTCTAATTACACAAAAAAAAAAGCTCAGAATAAATTAAATCAAAATTAACTAGCGTTGATGTCGACAAAAGCGGCGATAAATCAAACAACGTGCATAATCGATTCGCTTTTGTGTCGACAGAGGCAGGCCTGGACCAGAGCCCGCAGGGTGAATCGGAGCGGTGGTGCCCTCACCGCCCCTGGGGGACGGGGCGACGCCAGACGTCGAATCGTCTTCTGCTGATATCGGTCGCGTGCTATCGGCGAACATCGAGCCACAAGTAACGCAGACGCAATTCCCAACTATCTTCTGACCTCCCTTAAGTATCATGGAGCCGCACCGGAAGTACGACCGGGTACGGTCAAGAGGAACGGAAAAATTGAATTTCGACACGAAGAACAATTGTGTAAATCCTTTTTATCTCGTTTTACGAAAGTCTATAATATGTTTTCCCAGAAGAAATTTCGTCGTAAAATAGACGCAGAGTATTCTTGAACGATGAAAGTTGGTTAGCTATTACGTAGATAAATGCGAACGAAAATAAATGGGGAAGGTGAGAAAGCGAGATCGATATTCCGACATTCGCGGATTTGTTTGCGCCGCTAATCAAGCTATTAATGAAGTAAACATATTTTCACGATGATCGAACGAGTGCTGTTTTTGAAATTCGCTTGGGTGGATACATACAAATTGTTTACAAGAGGGAGGGAGAAGCGGGATATATCGTCGACGTAATGCGAGGCGCGGACGACACGCGGTCCGAGAGATTATTGGACAAAAATTAATTACAAACAGTGTGAATGGGTGTCATGTGTGCGTACATAACGCGTGCGTGTGTGTGAGTGTGAATAGAATGGGAGTAATTTAAATACACGCACATAGCAAAAGGGAAGAAAGGGAGCTTCGATCTCGTAGTGCACGTGTGCGCAATGAGTTTTCGTTACATAGCCTAGTCACGTAAGTCAGGTGTTTCTCGATGTGTATTCTGTGAAGCAGTAGAGAGAGAGAAAGAGAAGAACGCCGTTTTATTCGTACGGATCGCATCCGCCGTTCACGGTAACGATTTTCGCGGAAGTCTCCATGAACTCGGTAACTTGTATTGTTTATTGCAATCGATAATTACATCGCGCGTGATTCATTAATTATATTAATTTAAATTATCAGTAAAGTAATATAGTATAATATATATATATATATATATATATCTCAAAGATGGCCAACTTTTTGTCTATTAATACTATTATGGATTCCAAATCTTTGATGTGCTATTCGGCAAACAATCATATTTTGAGACGAAGAATATATAATGAAATAATGAATTGTAACAAATCTTACTCAAAAAAGCTGTAGGATTTAAAAAATAAATCCCTGTAAGGTTAAACAAAAGAAAACAGTAATCTTATACGTTCTTCTTTAGCACAGCAAACAAAAAGGTTTTTTCCGTTTAACAAAGTTTATTTCTTTTTCTGTTTTACATTAATTTTAAAGTAAATTTAGAAAACGCAGCGAAAGAGAGCAAATATAAAAAATAGATTTTAATAGAGTACTGTGTTATTTCTGGATTCTTAAATTTTTCTCTAACAGCATGTGCTTTTTTAAGCGTGGCGCTAAGAATGTCTTTGCGTACCACTAATGGATTGGTCCTTCCTGATATATAATATATATATTGCGTATTCATAGTATTCATAACGTATTTCTATAAATGTATCAACAAAAATAAAACAGTATGACAAAACAAACATCGAATTAAACTGCCGACTATGATGGCAAATGTACGAACATACTCGTATTTATAAAACAATTCTTTTTTTTTTGAAGTATTAAATCACTGTTTCTACAATTTATGATATTTGCATGTACAATATCTTTTCGTAATTACATAAAATGTTGTAAATTTTGTTCTAAATTGAAAATCGTATATGCGCGATTCAAAAAAAAATGTCGAGAAAAAAAAGTTTTTACTGAAATTGCATGGAAAATTGTTACCGTGAAATCATTATGTACACGCACGCGCGTATCTGACGCAAAAACGTGCTTGAAATGCATTAATGCATGTGTATTGACCGACAAAGCTATAATAAGAAATTGCAATTTATTTTATCCATAAGAAAAAATTTATTCATGAATAAAATCAGCTTTCGTCGTCTGTTTTTTCATTTGACAATTCACAGCCAGCAGGGTTGGCAAATTCCACATTTTTTGGATAAAATTCATGCCAATGGTAAAAACCGATATTTTTCAGAAAAAAAAAAAAACAGGAAAAACTGGCCTTTTCTACTAAAAGCAAAAAATAAATGGAAAATTTTGTTATCGGTATACTAATTCAGTATTTTAGTATCACTATTCTATAGTTTAACGTCAATTGAGAGAATATTTTCCAATTTAAGCTTTATCCAAAATAAAATCCGTAACAGATTAAAAATCGACGTAACAAATAAATTAGTTTTTTGTTACAACATATTGAATGATAAACCAGATGGTGAATCAGACCTTTATTGATAAAAATTTTTAATTTCGTTACTATTGTATTTTTTTCTGAAACTAAAAAAAATTATAAAACATTTAAAAAATATATTTTATATATTAATTTGAAAAAGAAAAACTATCTTAAGGTGTTTTGTTATCATTGATTTGTTTAATTTTTTTTAAACTATCACATAATTAATATAATTTACTAATTAAAGTAAAAATATCTTTTTGCATAAATATATATTTTTAAATTATATATTAATCATTTTTTTTATTTTTGTCACTTTATTGAATAAAGGCCACTACAGTAATATTCGGAATTTACCATGGTTTTTCTATTCACTAGATTTTTCTAGCCGAATCTAACCAAATCTACTGATTAGCTCCTTACTGAATATGCTAGTTATGTATACGTAACTTCTTGCGTTCTCTCCAATACTGAAAAGAAACTTTTTAATTAAAGAGCAAACAGGTATACCATATTTCAATGAATAAATCCACAAATGAATTCGGACAATTTTTTTTCGACTGTTATTTTATTTGCTCTGATACAAGATTGTGTTAAAAAGCACTTCGGAGCTGGTACTTGCAATTTCTTTGGACATCATAAATCAAGAAATTCTTTCTTCAGCGACTATATACTAGTACCTCGTGTAGCTTTCTACGAGGACAATCACTTTCCTCCTCCGCTTCTGAGTCGGCGAAGCGGGAGCACAAAGCGAGCGGATACTTCGCGAGCGTGTACTTGTAATATACTTGTATCTACCATTAGTCGTTCAGCTTTGTGCCGTTTCCATAGATTACGAATGCGAAAAAGGAAAAGCATATACATATGTAGAAGTTATAATGATGAGAGCGGAGTGAAAAGGTAAAAGAAAAGTAAGAGAATTTATCATTAACATATGAGAATTTTAATTTCGTGACTTTAGCGCATATCTCATGTCGCAGTGAACGACGGAATTACTGGTTGATAACTTACGTTTATCATGCTCGAATATATAATACATAAATTAAATGAAACTTCGATCGACAAATGATAATAAGATCTTGAATCTTCACGTTGAAGTAAAAAATTATTTTTGGTTATGATTATTAAAAACTGAGTAATTAAAGTAATCTATAATATATTACAGATTGTAATTAAAAATTATTTGTAGAATATCTTAAAAAATTTTACTTCGCAAAGCAAGATACAAATTTATTATATTTACCGCATGTTCATTTCTCTCCATTCGAGTTTGATTATACTATATCGATCTGTGACCAATAATAATAACGATCTGCGTGCGATCTTTGCAAGGAAAAAATTAGGTATCTCGCCAGTACTATTTCATACTTTGACCAACATATCCAAAACACGTCGCCGATTTTACATGTATGACGAAACATCGAAGATATCTTCATTTTTACTGAATCATCGAGTAGCCTTGTTCGTATAGCTTTTGCGAATCTCGCATGATATAATATTTGATCG